TGGGCTCTGTCCGGTCCCGGGGCTAGCCCTCCTGGCAGCACCCACTGCCCCGCGACAACGGAGCACCGATCCCTGCCTGCACCCCATCCCTGCCCGCACCCCGGTTCCACACAGGGACGGCAGGAGCCGCTGTGGCGCCTTAACTAGATCCCAGTTAACCAGATCCCGGCTCCTCCGGCAGGGGTCCCCATTTTCCCAGGAACAGCTGGGGTCCAGCTGTGCCCCCTGGCAGCACTGCCGTTCCCACAGGCAGAGGGTCCCGGAGCCAGGGCCACCCCAGTACCCAAACCGGCATGGAGCTGATTGTGTCTGTCCCAGGGTCCTGTAGTGGGTGGGGAACAGCTGTGGGGCTGAGCCCCTCCATGAGGTCAAACCCTCCTCAGGGCTCTCCCTCCGTGCCAGAGTCTTGGAACAGGGATTGCTTCCGCAGGCTCAGCCGGGCACACCGGGGACAGGTGGTGGAATTGTCATAGTAGCAGTCCCTGGAGGGGAGGGGACAGTGCCATGTCACCCCCATGCCACCCCCGTGTGCCCCCGTCCCACCCTGGTGTGTTGGTACCTGTGGAACACGGCAGAGCAGTCGGCACAGACCGAGGTGTGGCTGTCGAAGGGGAAGAGCACGTCACCCTCCCGGCACAGCTCACACACGAATCCCTTGGCCTGGCAGCGCTGGGGGAGCAGGAGACAATGGTGACCCCACCAGTCACCCACCAGCCCCACGGGGGTCTCCTGGCTCTGCCCCATGGCACGGGCTTACCTCGCAGTCCAGCTTGATGTGCTTGGCAAAGAGTGTGTGGATCTCGGTGAGGGAGCAGCCCAGGCGCCCGGCCTCGATGTCGATCAGGTCCTGCAGCGAGTACATCTCATCATTCTCCACGAAGTGCTGCCGGTCCTGCAGCTGCGGAGGACAGGTCACTGTGACTATCACCGTCGTGTGACTGTCACCGATGCACCTGGTCCTGGCCCCCTGTGGCCCCCCAGCACCCCCGGGCCTGACCTGCAGCAGCAGCCGCGCCTCCATCGCCTCCTTGCAGGTGATGAAGTAGGGCTTCATCAGCAGGATGTCCTGGCGCAGCTTCTGCGAGGCACAGGGCAGGATGGGGTGGGATGGGAATGGGATGAAAATGGGGACAGGAATGGGGATGGGTGCGGACAGGGATGGGACAAGGACAGGAAAAGGGTGGCAGCAGGAGTAGGATGGGGATGGGGTGAGGATGAGATGGGGATGGTGTGGGAATGGGACACGATGGGAATGGGGATTGGGACGGGAGTGGGATGGGAATGGGGACAGGGATGGGATGGGAATAGGTACAGGAATGGGGACAAGAATGGGAACATGAATGAGGACAGAGATGGGATTGGAATGGGGACAGGGATGGGAACAGGAATGAGGACAGGGATGGGACAGGAATAGGACCAAGACAGGGAAAAGGGCAGTGGCAGGAGCAGGATGAGGACGGGGACAGGGTTGGGAATGGGATGGGGACGGGATGGAGATAGGAGCATGACAAGACCAAATTGGGTCAAGTTCATCCCTGTAGCAGTCTGGGCATCCTCTGCCCCAAACCCCCCACCTCATCTTGCTTTCCCTCTGTGGGACTCAGCGGGAGCCACCAGGGTCCCCCCACCTCCTGCTCACCCCACGCTTCCTCCACAGTTTCACCCCTAGCCCCCGTGGGGTGTCCCCTGCCCCTTGGGGTGTCCCCTTGGATCCAGCACTCACCCGGATCTCTACCAGCTCCTCCACGTAGTTGAACAGCAGTGGGTTGATCTCCCGCAGCTTCAGCACCGGCCGTGACACCATCAGTGCCAGGTACCTCATACTGCACCGTGACACCTGCCACCACCACCGGGGCACCGTCACCCCCGGCACCCACCAGCCCTGCCGCCACCACTCCAGGGACCCCTGGCAGGGACCCATTGCAGGGACACAGCCCTGAGGACATGGCCCAGCCCAAGTGATCTCTACCCAGGGACCCCCATAGTCAGGACATGTCTCCATGACGTGGCCTCCCAAGTGACCTCTACCAAGGGACATCGCCCCCAGGGACCCCCATGACAAGGCACACAGCCCCCCAAGTCACCTCTACCCATGGATGCAGCTCCCAGGGACCCCCACGACCAGGCCCCCCAAGTAACCACTACCCAGAGCCATGGCCCCATGACCCCCTGGGGTGCCCCCACCCTCTGCCAGGGGCACCTTGCGGGGCTCGAAGTCCCAGTTGTGGATGGCACGGGCGGGCACCACAGCCAGGTCGTTCCAGTGGCAGCTGGAGCAGTAGTAGAGGCCGGTGTAGTCGCACTGTCGAGCCTCGCTGGGCACCCCCCCTGTGGTGGCACGGGGCTGGCACAGGGCTGGCACCAGCACCACCCTGCTCCCTGTTTGTCCCACACCATGTGTGCCCCTGGGACACTCACCAGCACCCAGGGACATGGTGGGGCCACAATGTCACCTTCTCCAGCTCCCTATGGCTCCCAGCCCCACATAGCCCTCGGAGTCCCCACTTTCAGCTCTCCCCAGCCTCACACACCTCCCACCCACAGCACCTCAGCCCCAGGCAGCCCTGGCCCCCCCTTCCCCGCAGCTCCACAGAGCCCCC